TGACATCGTTGAACAGTATTACACCACCGTTTACTATCGACCAAATGATCCTGCTACCGACACTGCATCTGGTGGAGTTGGGGCAACTGATATCTGATCAAAATGAAGGAGAAACATGTTTTCAATTGCAAAAGTAGGTCTCTGTACACCCTGTCTGATGATTTTCTCGTCTCGTCTCAACCCGCCCGTTTTTTTTCGAATGATGTGAAGTGTCGCAGAAGTTGTCACGATGTCTCTAGATTCAACAAGATGCAGCAATGAATTATCATCGTCTTTATGTTGTAGAAATATTTGGACTGGTCGAAGGGAGGTTTGGCTATTGAGTGAGATTGAGATTAATTGTTGGTTCCTGTGCAGTCACATTTCTAGAAAACCTGTTGATATTGGTACTGAGTACTTGTGCTGAATAGTTCAGGGAGTGTGGTCTAGTCGTATGATTCTCGCTTCGGATAACGACTTGCGAGAGGCCCCGGGTTCAAATCCCGGCTCTCCCCTTTTTTTGTTTTTTGACAAACGCTGTTTCGAGAAAGTATGCCAGTCTCAATGAAGTAAACTGCGCTCGCACGTTACTCACTGAGTACCGGCTCTTAGATGGCTACCGTCATCTTTTCCTTTTTTGCCTACTCTACTCGAGGCAAGATATCAGGTCATTTAGAGTGAATACAATCGACATTGTCAATTCATCATGCTACTGGTACAAAAAGCTCGGACGTCGTACGAGCTGGGATTCACAGCTTGGAGCCAAACTGACTTTCCGTGACGCTGCACGTTATGTTAATAAAGATACAAGTGGGCTAAAAAAGGCAACACTGACCCTTTACCCATAGCCGCTGTGCTGCTGATACCACCAGTAACTGTTTTGAGGAGGTTGTCGACATATTCAGCACCAGACCACTGTCATTCAATAGAAATATCAGGACTGGAAGTTCGGGAAAGGTGACAAACCTACCTTCTGATGAGTGAGGACGTCACAGCCAATCTCTCTTTCTTTCCGCTGTATCAGCTCGACATAAGCCTTCATTCCTTCCTTCGCAAACGCCTCAGCGAAGAGAGCGGTGATATAAGCGTTCGAGTGAAGACCTCCGAGCTGGTAGCCAAGATTTATATCAGTACAAATTCAGCAGAGATAGAAAGAGCGCACGGTGATGAATTGCCAAACAAATCCGAGCTTACCGAGTTTCCAAACGAATTCCTTCATGTCTGTCTCGTTCAGTCCTGCTGAATCCCAGTTGAAAGAAGGCGACAGGTTGTAAGCCAACCACTGGTGAGGGAGCGCTGCCTTGACACCTTTGCTGAACTCCTCCGCCTGAGCGAGGATGGGGGACTTGGTTTCCATCCATACGAGGTCGCAGAAAGGTCCCTACAATACGAGTAACTTCAGACGAATAAGAAGAAAAGATGGAAAGAACGTACGAAAGCAATGGCGCGGTTGATAGCACACTGTGTTCCACCTTGGTAGCGGTAATAACCTTCCCTCGTCCTGGGCTTGTCCCAGTTCCAGTACACTTCAACACCGAGACTCTTCGCAATATTCCTAGTCTCGTCGTGCGATGCGTGCTCCGTCTTCTTCTCAAACTCTTTGATTTTGCTCGCACTCACTCCCTTCTTCTCCAATGCCTTCTTCACCGCCTCCCCAAACAAGCACAATCCAGCCTTCGCCGTCCATTCATCCTCTACGTTCTGCAGCTCTGCACCGTTGAGGCCCTTCGATTCCGCCTTGTGCATCACTTCCACGAGCGAGGGAAGCTCAGCATTCGTGCTTCCGAGAATGAAAGCATGATCCCTTTCATCAACGTTGGTTGTGAGGAGGGTAGCAGCCTCGGCATCTGTTCGAGCGACAATGATATTCTCGACGCCCATGATATCGTATTGGTACCGAATGGCCACCAGGCGATTGATATGCTCGCTGATAGGAACAAGTACTTTGCCAGCCATATGCCCGCATTTCTTTGTCCCTGGAGCTTGGTCCTCAATGTGGATTCCAGCGGCTCCCTTCTCAACGAACAGCTTTGTCAATTTCATGGTCGCAGTCAAACCTCCATGTCCTGTATCGGCGTCTGCGATGATGGGACGAAGGTAGTCGACGTAGGGAACTTTCGATCGTTCGGCGGCAGGGATTGAGACACGGTCTTCTCGTTGTTTCCGGTCGTGGAAGAGTTGCGCCATGAAGAGATGCTCGACTTTATTAGGAACGGTGTTGTAGGGGTAATCTACACGTTCAAAGCATTGTCAATGTTATTGCCCT